CTCAGGGTTTTAAAATGTAAGAATTGGATAAAGTTAAAGTTGGAACATTTCGTTGTGCAGTATAGTTCAATTCAGTACGTTCATATAGTGGCGAGTAAGGTATTAGAGGTTCTTCTTGTTTAGTTATGTTAGTCTGTATCGTTTTTGGCTTAGTCTGTTCAACATTTTATGTATATGCAGCCTGTACGCTCTAGTAGAGTATATGAGGTTTCATGTCAGGCAAAGTATATTCGGATTGTTGAAATTGCTTTGTATTATGGAACCAAAACTCAAGGGCTAGTAGTTGGTTTTTAGGATACGTATTGCTCGTATCTCTTGCAGTCTACCTGTAGATATTAATATCTTTGGAAGGAGACAAAAGGGATGTATCGTTAGCGAAGGTGAATGTTATTTTTTCTACCATCCCTCCCAGCACAGCCTTATATAATATAGAAGCAAATGTGATGCTTTGTAGGGCTTCTATTCGGACAGGATAAGGGGAGGAAGAAGAGGATATTTGGGTAAATTGGAAAGAATGAAAGGAGATACGATTTAAGAAAGAGTTACACAGCAGCCCCAGGTGCCAAACTCGTTCAAAAGCTTAAGCGATATCCCCAAATAAACCAAGGAAATACTGTTTCAGCTCTATGGAGGTAGAGATGACTCGGAAATGCGCCTGGTGAGCAGACGTATGAAAATTCGGAAGTCTGACTAAAAGGAGCTTTTCTAGGATTTTTCCAAGGATGTTGAAATAAACTGGTCTGTAAGAGTTAGGGAAATGAGTAGGCTTGAGATTTTTAGGAATCATGAACTTCCAAAGAATAGGAGAGTAGGTGGTAGGCAGTACTATATTGCAAGGAGAGTAATAACAACTATTGATTTTCCGGGAAATTGAAGAAGGATTTTTTTGAAGGTGACTTAATAGTCAGGGCTTATATTTGTTGGTAGATACTGAATGACCTGCTCGACTTCGTTTGCTCTGAATTCTTCAGCGGAAAAGAGGTTTGAGAGAATGACAATGTTCAAATTGAGAATTGCGGAGCCAGACATTGTGCTTTGAACTCATCAGATCTGGCCTTAGTTCCGTCTGAATGTTTCAGGGGGTGTGAAGAGTATTAACAGTTACAAATACAAACCTTTATTAGGAACAATTATAACCAATTTAAGACAAATCGAAGAAATTATTGTAGTCATTTTAAGGAAAAAACTATTTTTCACGTTACTTGAACTTGAATTTTTGAACCATTCTGAATAATTTATCTTTTACTAAAATTTTGATTTTCCTCAAAATTTCTAAACTGAAAGTTAATTTCTACGTACACAAATTTTTAGTGATTGTGTTTTTTACCTCTACGCCATAGAAATGTAAATATTAAACTCAAATGATCAATGATATTAATTCATTTTCTAATTAATTTTAACACTGTCTGTGCCTTTTGTCTATTGAATAGTATAATATCAACTGGAAACATGTTACATAGTAAAACATTTAATAATCTTTTGAACATTGTAAGTATGTAAGCTTTAAAACAATAGTAAAGTTATAAGAAAATTCAAGCACAAAGATTTTCGACAGGGTTATTAATTTTAACAAGAATTTCATTATGTTATCGTTTATTTTTATTTAGTTACGGTTTTGGTTGAGACAAAAAAGTCAGTGTCACGAGCGGGATTCGACCACACGTTTTACTGACTTTTTTTATCTCAAACAAAACCTTAATTAATGATTAATTAATTGAAAAGAATTTATTTGGAAAATCGGACTACGAAACCTAATAGATTTATTTATAATTAATTAAGGTTTTCAGTTGAGATAAAAAAGTCAGTGGCACGAGCGGGATTCGAACCCATGATCTTCGGCTTGATACGCCGCTGCTCTACCACTTGAGCTATTGTGACCTTTTTATCTCAAATGAAAAACCTTAACTAATTTTAAGATATTAATTGGTCAAGCGGACCACGAACCTAGTAGATTTATTAATTTTTTTACGAGGGTTCACAACAGCAGAGGTCATATAAACCCTCAGGGTTTTGGAAAAAAAGCCCATTTGTAAGAATGCCGGGTACGAATGCAGGGCCGCTGGATTCGAACCTGGGATCTTTACTTTACAATGATGAGCGCTATCAACGGCTAAACCGATGTGGCAACCGACGCCCCAGTTATTGTTTATTAGTGTTAGACTAATCGCATTGAAAATTGTTCAGAAAAAATATCCTTGATTTACAAGGTTTCTAATAAAAATTAAATGTTTAAAATTATGAATAATAATTTGAGAAACATTTATAAGTCGCTCGTACGAGATCATCCATCATGGCTGCGCATTCGTATTATTAAAATAACTTTATAAAATATACAACGTTGGAGGTTATGTTGCAAGTTGAATTAATAAATTCCATTTAAAAAATTTATCATCTCATTAAACAAGCACATTTTCCGGATGTACCGGCATGTTGTAAGTACTTGCTAGTCTGCAATATTAAAAACATAAAAAGCTTCCGTTGCGTTTCCTTATGGCTACTGCTTTATTACCGCAGTTAAAACGGAAAATAAAATATTACTTGTCTGAATTGATTCTCTTGCAAGAATCAGAAGAAACGGTTTTTACCTTTTAATTTCGGTATGGTCTGGAAGAAAAACAAATTCAATTGTTATCTGCCAAACTTTTAACGTATTTAAGGTCATCTTCATGTCAAAACAATCTAAAAGATGTCTACAAATAAATAGTTAAGTTTTTAATTGATACTTTAACTTGAATAACGTAAATAAAAAATTTAAAAAAGTATGTATAAGTCTTATTCCAAGTTCGTTTTGGTTTATGATTTTTTTCTATAGATCTATAGATCGTTTCAAATTTCTTTGAAGACCGACTCAGTTCAAACATTGCCAAGGACTGTATCATTACTCCCCTTTACCTACCCTGTAACATTATTTATCTTTTAATCAAATTATATATCTTTCAACGTGTAGCATTGCTCGAAAAAAAATCATAAATCAAAACGACTTGGAATAAGATTTATACATACTTTTTTAAATTTTTAATTTACGTTATTCATCTGATTTATTAATTATATATTTTGTGGATAGGACGCGAACTCAATGCCTTGAAGGTAAAACCTTAATAGCTTGATAGACATGGCCAAAATAAATTAAATTTAAATCCGTTAATTAGAGGAACCAACGTAGTAATTAACTTGTAAAGAAAATATATTCTTTCGCTGTATGAATGTAAAAGAAACACGCAAGACTTTCTCGTGTCTAAGGGTAGTTATGCTCTTTTCTTTCTTCTCTCTATTCGGCATCTTGTAAAATTCACCAACCCACACGAAAGCAATTCCAAACGGTTTTTTGCCCTTTGATAAGGAAAAAATTGTTCTATTTTTGTGCTCATGAATGCATAAAACTTACAGTCTATCTTTAAACCAAAATTAACTATCGATGAAGCAACGTTTTGTCTAACGGTACGAATGTCGGTAATATTATGCTTTGATATTGTCCTTTCTGCTGACTTGAATTTTCTCAAATGGTTTAACAGAAAAAAGTTTGAGAGGAAAATTATTTCACATTGGGAAAAACCTTATCCATTAGGAAAGATTATCTACAAGATAATGTTTCCAGCCTAGTTACTCCCTTTTCGAGCGACTTTTATGTTTATTTGTAATCCATAAAAGAAAACCAAGATTCATTTGAGCCATGAATTTATTTCTGTTACTTAATCCTTTTTTAATTAAAATCAATAAAACTTCGTTTGTTCAGATAATCAACCTATAAAATTGGGTATTAATAGCCTTTATTATTATAATATGAAAATTAATTCACTAATTTCGTGGTCCGCTTGACCAATTAATACTTTACAATTAATTAAGGTTTTTAGTTGAGATGAAAAAAAATATGAAAACTTTCAATTTTTACCCCATAATTATGAAATAAATAATAATCAAGAAACAATGACCAAAACTTGGCTGGCTGTTGAAAATGAATAGAAATTAAAAGGAATAAATTGGCTTAAAAAATTCATATGGAAATGAAAAACCATTCTATCATTTTTGTACTAACTCTTATATAACTAATAACAAAAGTTGGAATCACTTATTTTGAATGGATCACCAAATAAGGAAAACGTAAGATTGCCAACTTTTTAGGCTGTGTCACCTCCAAGCAATGGTAATTAATGGATCGGACAACGTGGTAACCTCATTCTCCTCCATAAGTTGGAAAGTAAACAATCTTCGAAGATTTAGTTTTTCGAAATACAGCAAGAAAAATGATGATATTTGTCTCCAGTTACTCCATCTAACGCAGCTACATGAAAATATAGTAGTTAAAAGCAAATGTTTTCACATCCCAAGTATTACTTTTTTATCTCGTACTCCACCTCAGTAAATGTCAGTGGGCAAAATAAAAAGCTAAATTGAATTTCCTTGCACATAATTAGTTTTAGCCAGTACCAGCTAAATAGTTTATGGCGGGTTTCAGAAATCGTTAAAGTAAAGCTGTTTCCAGTACGAATACAGATGTGCCATTTGCTAGAATCGTGTTGTAAAAGTTACACATCAGGTTTTACACCGGGCGATTGGCTTGTCCTAGGAAAAGCTAAAAGGTCAATTGAATGGTTTGTAATGTATTGAAAGTGTTACTGTAAAAAAAATCGTTTAACTTCCTCTTTTTCCTCGATCAACAGAAACCATAAAGTTTTCCCGGAATCCAGGGTTCAAGGAACGGGGTGCAATTAGAAGACAATTAGAAGGTTAAAATCGCCTGACGTTTATAATTTGAATTGTTGAAATTATTTTCCCCGCTGGATATGGGAGTTTTATGGCAATAGCTCTGCCATATCCAAACAAAAAAATGATCTCATTTTACATTTATTTTCTTCTCCGCCTATCTTGTACATGGTTGCATCTTCGACGTAAATATTTGTTCGTTCTTATTAGGCCGATCCATTACGGTTTATTACTTTGAAAATTGCCCGACTATATATTATATTTACGGCCCTACAGAATTGTTTTCCTTGGTTTTGCAGGGCGATCAAATGCTCGTCGGCTGGGCTTGCATGCCGACCGCAGGGAGGGCAGATCTGATACAATCGGATATGACGTCGGAATTCAGGCTTACAATGGATATAAAGGACTTCACGACGGACTTAAGGATCATACTCATATGTAAGTTTTTAAAAATTAATTTTATAAAATACTAGTTAACATTGATTGATTTTTGTAACACACGACAGAGGAATTAAGTTTGTACTAAGTAATACTACGCAAACATACAAACAAAACTGAGAAAAAATGGTTGCAAAATTTTAGAAACGTAACGACCAGGGGTCTATCAGTTCATATATTTTTTTTTCATTATGAAGTTCTAGTTGTTAATAGAGCTTGAGTTAATAATGTGACAGGTGAGAAATTAAATAATTCATCAGGTTTAAGCTATTATTATTATTTTCATCAAAATATTTCGCGTTGATATTTTTTTATTTCTCCAATATTTTATATTATTTAATTAAGCATAATGAATTAATCGTATTTGAAAAATTATGGTTTCACCCTTCGATGATCCAATTTTAAATTAAATACTAGTCAGACTGATGTCTAACTTTAAATTATTTTTTCTATTTTCTTTCACAATACATTATCGTAGGACGTAATAGGGAGAACTCTGGATTAACAATTTTGATTCTGTACCTTAAAATTGAAGTAACGAATAATCTGGATCACAGGTTGGAGCTAGAAGTCGTAAACCCCTTGGTGGTCGATGGTCGAACATGAGAATACTAATTAATTTTTATAATACGAAAAAACGAAAGAATGCGCCCAATCTGGCCTCCACGCGAGCGGATGAAGGTTCATTTCCTTGAATTATTGTCCAACAATCTATTAACCATCTTTGTGCAATTATTATTTCTTAAAATTGGGATAGCTCGCTGTTCAACTTTACTGCAGAAGAATGTACTTAGTGCCAAAATTCTATATATCAAATTATGGGTAAAATTCTGTTTATGATCAAAAGAAGAAAAATAATTGAAATGTCTGTCCGAACCAATTTCTTTTGTATTCTACCTATGTATCAATGTGCCCACTGGACCCCTGATCACTTCCACGTTTAGGAGGGGAATAGAGCCCCTATTTTCAACTTCATAAGTGAATTGTATGTTCTCATGATAACTATTAAAAAGGTTGAGAGAATGTCAAAATTAGCTACGGAAAAATCAGAAACAACAACATACTTGCAACATTTGTAGATACTTGAAATACATTAAAGAATACAACCGAAAATTTTTGGCTTGTTCAGTTTCTCTTATCATTCTGTGATTCTGGTCAATTGTAGAGTGCCTGTCGTCTAGCCTTTTAAGTAGGTGGTTTTCCAAATTTTAAAAATCTTCTCAAGAATTTGGTCTTTTGTTCCAAGTGGTGGTTTATAATTTAGGAGGATCATGATGATCTCAGCTATTTGCCATGTTTGTGCCAGTCGTAATTAATGATCCTGGTCATTTGGACTACAGCTTTCCAAGGCAATTCCCTGAGCAGAGATCAGCAATCTGGTCGTATCCACAGGCTTGTTGGTCTTTTGCAATTCTAGGATGTTAATGTCAGAATCAGGAAATACAATTTCTTCTTTTGTTTGCTCGTCAAGTTCGGCTTCATTAAGAGTCTAGATGTTACTCATACCACATACAAACATATCGAGTTTGCTTTAGATATCTTTGATCCTTTGATTAAGAATATATTTAAGAGGTGGCGTATTATCTGTCTTTTTATGGATTTTGATTTAAATAAATTAGGTGGAAATTTATATTATATTGAAATTATATCATTTGGTATATATATAATTGAATTTACCTTATCATTTTAATGATTATGATTATTATTATGATATTTAATATTATGATTTATTATTATGATTTTTAATTATATCTTTATCCTTTATGCAGTTTATGTAATATAAAAAAAAGGTAATGAACTTAGTCTATTTTATAACCATATGGCCTGATTTATATTAATCCTTAGCTTTCAGTCTTCTAATTCTTTCTTACAATCTTTTGATTACTTTAATCATAAACAATTAATTTATCAACTAGTTAATTTGGTTAGATAGGCAACCTAAGTCTGCCCTAACGGCGTGGCCAGCAACACTTCCGCAACAGTCAAGCGTGTTGCGGGTTTAGTATAATTGGTGCCCCGTTGACTCTGTTACAGAAATATCTCTTCACAGAAACTGCTTGCAAAAAACCATCCAAAACAAAAGATTTTTCTTTTCCTTCTTTATAAATATGTTAATTGTATACAATAAAAATGATAAAGTAAGACGTTGTCTAGATTCTACACGTTGACAGAATTGATGCAGAATATGTGCACAAATGGCAGAGAGTGTAATTTTTTGCATGGTTATGTTTTATCGTATTTTTTATACTCCATGAGTTCATATTTACAACTGTATATATATTATAAATAACCAGTAGATTTGTGGCAGCTGCTCTGGATTAATCATTTAAGACATTTCTTATATATTCTTTCTACCTGACAACGGGGGCATTGTGTATTTATGTGTTAGTTTGATCTTGTAATTTAGTGTAAAAACATTTTGGATGGACGAAAACCAGTTGAGGGTTAATTTTCCTTTCCCAAAAGGTGCTCCATTTTGCAAATGTCAACATGTAGTTTAGTAACATAAGTAGAAGAACTGTTAATATGGCAGTAACTTCTGCGTATGTAGCAGTAAGTACATTCATATTGACCCTTTGGTATACCGGCAAGCATTATCTTCATTTCAAAAGTCTCTGATCCCTGGGTTACTGCGAAAAATCTCTCCTTGAGATGTAATTGTATAATCAGATAATAGAAGGAAAAATAGGTTGAATATGCAGCATAATCCCTCATGTCATATCTTGGCGAAAATTTTAGAAACATCTATAAGTACTCCGGTTTCTGTTCGGGACCTGAAGTAATATATTCTCTAACTCTGTGAATTTGATGAATAGTAGGATGATGGCTTAAAAGTCAAGGTCTGTTAAAATAGGTTTTATAGTATACACCGCGCATACTAAACCCTCAAGACGTTGGAGTGTTGCAGAAGTGTTTTTTGGCACGCCGTTAGGGCAGACCTACAAGCAGACTTGCACAATTATTCAATCAACTAGCTTATAAATTAGTTGGTCATGATCTAAGTAATCAAAAGATTGTAAAGAATCACAAGAAAAATGAAAGTTAAGGTTTAATAATAAATGAGGCCATATGAGCATAAACGAGACGGTACGAAGTCAAGATAATCTACATAAAATAAACTTAATTCCTTACCTTTTTTTATATTTCATAAACTGCATAAATGATAACGATAAGATTAAAATTCGGTTACAATTTATAGATAAAACTTTCCTGGCTTTCAAAATCAATTACGTCTCTTATCTATTTAAAAAAACGATAATACGCCACCTCTTAAATATATTCATAATCAGAGGATCACAAATATCCAAAGCAAACATAATGTGTTGCATGACTAACTGCATGATGTATAACCTCTAGAGCCTTAATGAAGCCGAACCTGACGAGCAAACATTAGAAGAAATTATATATCCTGATCCTGACATTAATATCGTAGAACTCCAAAACGTCAACAAGCTTGTGGATACGACCAGACTGCTGGTTTTATTCACAAGAAATAGCCATGAAAAACTGTAGTCCAGATGATCAGGACCATTATTAAGGCAACCTTACGACGTAAATATGTGGCCCAGCCATGGCAATTAGCTGAGATCTCATGATCCCCCTAAATCAGTTAAACCGCCGCTCGGAACAAAAGTCCAAATTCTCTATTGGCGGCAATTTCTAGATTATCGTAAAACTAGCTACTAAATGGTTAGACGACCGCACCACTCACACATACCAGAATCACAGGAACACAAGAGTCAGTGACCAAGCGGAAGATTCTCGGTTGTATTCTTTATTGTAGTTAAAGCATACGATAAAGACTGGTATGAAGGTTTGATATATATATATAAGGACCTAACCAGGTGATTCAAACTCGTGAAGCCACGTGACATATTACGGTGAAGGACTTCACGACTTCAGTGAATTGGTGAAGTTAGAAATAATTAAGAACAGAATTTTTAAAAAACTTTATTATGCGATTACTCATTAACAATGTGAATAAAATAATATAATAATATAAGTACAGTAAATAATAATAAAGTATATTAATAAAGGTAATATTAATAAAGTTGGTCAGGGCTAATGATTGGAAAAAAATTTCTTTCTGAAATATTTTCGAAATTGCCTACCTTAGGATTCTTCATTTAATTTTTCAACGTTAAATAAACATGACTGTAAAGAATCCGGGGTAGTGAATCCGATGATTTCTGAATATTCCAAGCACGCAATGCGTTGTGCGTCTGGCAATTGAACACGGTTCGTCTTGATTTTTGCAAATTTGATTTCCAACGTCAATAAAAACACTTATGTAAGAAGTTTTACTATAAAAAAAAATTGATAACAGGTAAGTGTACGACAGACGTGAATTCTATTTGATTCGTCATTAAGTAGCGTCGTTTTTTTCTAAGTCATCATGATCTTTTATGATTACGTAACGTTAATTATTTTCTGTATTTATCTTCTAAACTCTAAGTTTTACTAAAAGGGAACTAGTGTAATCACACACGCTACAGCAATCTTTAATTGTAGGGACGAAGTTGTCAATTGACGCTGCTCCGAATACAAGAAGTACGTCACGAGCATTTAGAATTGTATAAAGGAAAACCGATTGAGAAATTATACGGGCACCGTTATTTGAGTTATTCCTTTCAATAGGAGTTCAGCAAAATCTGAGCTGTGACGTTTAAATATTTTACAAAGGATTTTCCCCAGCCCTACTCCTTACAAAACTGTTATAATCCGTGATCTAGGTTTTTAGGAAATTTTAATTGTTAATATATGGTAGCAAAGGAATTTAGAGGTTTTAACACTAACTCTCATTCAAGGTTGCATTAAGGTATAAGTGAGATATTATAGTAAATGTTTTGGGATGCTAAACACACTCTTTGCAAAATCACCATGACACAATCATTCATGGCAATCTTCTGTATCAAACCTCGAGCGACAAGAAATCTATTATAATTCTGAGTTTTTTACAATTTTATTTCATGTGAGAGCTCTTCTCCCATGAACTATTTTTGTGAAACTGTTCCTTGCAGTAGAATGATTTGATGAAAATTAGAGATGTGGCTTCATGGTGTAATGTATTTAATTATGCATTTTCTTTTTTGTGATGGAATCCAGTTGTTTAATAAACAGTTTGTTTGATAAATTGGATTTTTATATAACTTTATTGCGCTAATGCGCATTAGTGTTGTAATCGAACGCTAAATGTAAAATATGAAGCGTTCTTCACTTAATAATATTATTAGTAAACAATAGCTTGCAGTAAATAATTATTTAGCAGCAATAAATACCTAATAGCTTGTAAATATCAATAAATATTATAAGAAATACAACTAATAAATTTAATTTAATGAGTTTAGGATTGTACAAGGTCGAAATTGTGCTTCTTCAGACGTCTTTATGTTCTTGGATTTTGATGGCTCTGGGCAATTTCCTTCATCAGTTGATTGACGTGCACCGTTTCAGTTTTCGACTTTTCGTCAACTTGTTAATTTTTTACAGATTTTTTTAAGCTCCCCTCCGAAAATCAATATAATATTTTAAATATTTTGCGTGATAAATTAGATTTTACGTAAAAAAATCCATCAAATATGCGATATTGTTCAAATATGCAATTTTATGTGATATTCATTAAATATGCACAAATATGCTCTATAAAATTTAACCTACGGCTTTCTAGATACATGATTCGCATAGATAATTGATTTCCGCGGTCGTATTTGGTGGCAAACAAAATATGCAACTGCATAAAAATCCGGTCCTAGCTTATGCTATAATTATAAATGTGGCATAACAGTACATTTTTAATTAGTAGTTTAAATAACAGCTTGTTGGAACTTAACGTTTTTTAACGATTTAATTAATTAATCTCCTCTAGAATTATTTGTTTTAGACAAGATTATTTCTCATTTAGTTGTTTTTGATAAAATCTCTGTTTTGAACACTTATTGAAATACAACTCCTGTTCGACCCCCTTTTGGACGAATCACGTCACGAGCACGATAATTTGCATGGGCGGTTTTCATTTTATAGCAAAGCTAACCGGGGTAAAAATCCACCCCTTGGACAGTGGACAGGATTTCTTGTTGAGCTCACGCTAGTGTTTTCGAAATTAAAGGGCAGATTAAACCATCAAGCCTTCCGGGTAACGTGGCATTTTATCGTAGCCCCCGGCCAAATCGTTAAGTTTCAATTTTTTTTCTTTCATTGTTAATTCTTTAACATGAAACAATAAAATATACTGTGAAACTTTATAAGCCAATCCAATAAAAATTATTTATAAACAATAATTCATCCATCCCCAAAGCTTACAAAGGGATTCCTGGAACCGTAACAGAACCAGGATTCTGGTTAGACTCCTGACGGGCACTGCTGCTTAAGAAAGCACATGCACCGGATAGGAGTACAGATAGAAGAAATGCTGTGCAGATATTGCCACGAAAAGAGGAGACCGCGGAATATGTTTTATGTTTTTGTGTAGGTCTTTGTGCTGCAGCTTCTTGGAATTAATAGAGGAAAAGCCGTAAGAAAGACTCTAAACTAAGATGCTACTGCCACGGTTAACGAGGTTGATTACATGAAGCTGGCCAGTGAGTTATAAAAAAATAGAGAAGCACAACAGATCTACTTAGGTCGAGGTGCAGAAGGCCTAGTGGCTGCTTTTTTTACCCCCTATCTTTCCTTGAGAAATATACACGGAACAGACTGGTAGAAATATAAAACACAAGAAACACCTTAGATCATTCAGGTAAAATTGTGGAAAATACAACTGTTCTACTTTACAAACCTCACAAAAAACCACAATGAACTTGATTGAGTTTGGTCGTTTTTCAATTTTTTTTCACCTTCAGACGCACACAACTGTTACAATAACAAATATTCATTATCTGTAAAATGAAAAAATGAACACAACCAACCAGTAAATTACTGGCAAATTTGAAAGACAAAATAAGCGAGAATAGGCAAAGGATGATAGACGATCGTGCCCCAGGTTGATCAAATTTACGTTGGGTATTCTTCTAAAAGCTAAGTTTATTGAAGCCAGTTTGTTTAGATTAAAAAATTCATGCTCAAAAAACGCCACGAACAATCCTGATGTTACAAATTCTCGTTTTAACTAACAGCCCAATTTATATAATAAACTGGCATTAAAAAAAATACTAAAAACAAAATATACTACAGAAAGCGTACGAAAACAAAACATATACGATATAATATGAACCCACTCTGGTAGAAAAATAAAGGACAGGTACAAGGAAAACAAAAGATAACTTAACACCAATCATGAGCCGAACTTATTTCCACAGAAATTCTGTATAAGGCTCACATTTATTTTAAAAAAACGATATAGATATTGCTGAAATGGTAGATGATCAGTTTTGGCGCAATATTTTGCGAAGTTCCTTGTTTGTCTAGTTCATGAGATTAGTTCTTACAGAAAACAGGCCTAACTTCTTAACCAATTAATTTATTTTATCTGGAAAGTTACTGGTATGATTCTTCGAAAATGCTGTCCGAGATACTTAAGTACTTATGATCAGATTGTTTTTTCCAAGAAAAAAAAAGAAGAAAATGTATTATTTCATTTAATCATTTTCATATACAACGTTTCCAACCAATGAAAGGAAAAGAAAGGTTCTTTTTAATTTTATTTAAAAAATATACGTATTGTAAAAACAATAAAACCGAAAAAAAGAATTGTTTAACATTTGCCGGGTGAAATGATATAGGAGTTGAGTGACCCCGTGAGATACAATATAATTAAATTAAACCAGAATTTATTTCCTCTTGTTTCAAACTTCCATTTTCAACTAACACAATTCCAAATTATTGTGCTTTTGTTAATATAGGATTTACACTCAAAAGCCCTGCCGTATTAAATATTTATTTGAATTGTAAAAAATTACAAAACTTTCTCATCAACAATTCATCGCAATGAAAGTCAAATATACCAGTGTCTTTCGTTGGATTGGGATAATTTCTTTTAGCTGTGTTTAATTGTGTCGTAAAACATACATGTGCGCAGTATACACAAGATGTTTCATCATTCTTAACAAATCCAATTAAAATAAATGCAAACCATTTTCAAACAACTTTCTAATTGTGAGTTGTCTTTTTGTGGTTTGCTGAGTTCCTGCTCTAATTTGTTCGTTACCGATCATTTTTTTACAGGTAACTGTCGGCATTTCGCAATCTGTAGTGGTGTTTTGTACGATCAATTGACCAGGGTAAATAAGCTGAAGCATATTTGGTCTTCCGGATGGCTAAGCACGCATAGACAGTGAATACCCAGTGTCGATAGGCAAACCAAAATGATCAGTAACGACCAAATTAACATTTCTTTTAACATTTTCGGTCTTTATTTGTTCAATAGTCTTCACTCCGTAACTGCAAACTGAAAATTAATAGGCTTTTTTAAATCAAAAGCATAACTAATTTATGCCATTTATTTTATTAGCAAAAATTAACGCAATTTTGTTAGTAAATAGCAACCGACTCGTTTGGTCTTCGACAACTTCAGAAAGAAAAATGACTATCACAATATTTGCCAAAACGTTATTAAATATAAAAAATAAAAAGATGCTCCTTCTAATTGTCTTAACAAACAAAATCGTACACAATAATAGCATTCAACTAGGATGTAAAAAAAATATGGCCATAATTACCAAAGAAACTACAAAACTTCATCACCCTTAAAAACATAATTAAAAATGGGCTTTGCCAAAAACACTAGCTACCGAAACATAGGTATGACCCCTACTGTTGTAAAACCCGTTTCAAATAAAATAAAATAAAATGCATGATAAAACTAGATTTTTAGCTAAAGCATCCAAAGCAGAAGATTTATGTGGAGGTACAGATATAATTGCAAATATTTGTTTGTAGAACAAACCAGCATCTTGACTCTTATTGTTTATGCAAAATTATTCTACGTGCCAAACCTGGCATATAAATAATATATTAGGTTGTTATATTTATTGTTTTGATAAACATCTAACTAGATTCACTTTTTTCTTTTTGTTTCCAGATCTAACTTGGTTATCTACAAAAGTTCTCGTCTTACCGCTTCAGGTCACGGCGAAATTGGGCATCATGAACGAAACGGTAAACCTTTTTTATTTATTATCCGGTGGTAAGCCTGGTTTCAGGAGTCTGGAACCGACCCAAGTATACTCGTGTCGATGTGAGGTCTAGGTCGGTTGTTAAGATTTTTTTTATAAGAAAAACCTGTTGATTAAACAAGTACGAAACTTTTATGTTTGTTTTTTGCTGTTTTACGGCAATGTTGCAACAAATTCTATAGGAAAATTACGCCGTGTTAAGAGTGGGATATCCTCTAGGCAAACATGGTTTACAAAGGTTCTTGAATCATTTAAGAATGGATAATTGCATACATCGCATGCACAAACTTTATGATCATTATTGTGTAATGTACAGCAATTAACAAACATATATGTTATCTAGCAATCAATCGGATCAATGAAACTTTTGAAACCGAAAAACATCGTGAATCAATCTTCATTTTGTTCGTTTCTAAACACTTTTGCTGCATTATTATTTTGATGGAATTTCTTCTTTTTTTTTAAATTATAAATCGAAAAGATTGTAGCATGATTAAAGTATGTGAAATGCAAAATGTATAAGAAACCCAATAAAAAACTAACCGTAAAAAAAGGACCAACTTCCCGACTCCCTTTATAAAAAATAAAAAATTTTAGTCCATAACCTGAGAGAACTCAAAAGCAAAAATAAAAGTTCCACACTCCCTCCCAAAAAAAGTAAGCCCTATCAGAGAAGTGTTATCTACATTGTGGTCAATTGACCACAATGTAGATGTCCAATCTCACTTCATTTCTACTTTTATGAGCAATTTCTTTTAATTTCATTGTTTAACACTTGGCCAGTTTTTGCATGTGAACCAAAACATTAGAGTCATGTGCTCACACAGGAGACGTGAGAGAAGTGAACGTGAGAACTGATCAACATTCACGTTTCTATCTGTCCGGAAAGTACCTTATAATTTCGCTGATCATTGAGGCAGTACAAAAATGCAAATTTCGACGTGCTCCCCTTTCGGAAAGACTTAATATTAAGTTCTCAAACTTTTACGTTTCCAATTTTAAAAACCCAATTTAAAAGGAAGCGGAGTATGAGGGTGAGAAACACCGGAAGATATGGTTCGAGTAAAGATGCACATGGTAGCTTGCTGGAACATTGCCAGCGCACTTCCCAGCGCTCAGATATATAGCTGTAGAATGGTGGATTGAGAGTGTTGTTCCATCTTTTTCTACTCACAGTAAGTTGTTTCACGATCCAGATTTCGACCCTACCGATCATCATCAGATTGTAGAGCTCCTTCAACTTTATGATGAGCTGTAGGCTCGAATTCCATCCCCGACCATCTTTTTAAAAATATTAAAATATAGCTGCTTTTATTATTTCTTTTATATTTACTTTAGTGTTTTTGAGGCTCACCTCTATGTTCTCTTTACATGTATTGGGTTGTCCGGAAAATAATGCAGGATTTTGGTATTAAACAAAAAAAAAGAAACTAGTTACTTTAAAGCAATGTTCTTTAATCAAAATAATTTCCCATACTCTCAATACATTTCTCCCAACGTGTTGGTAACTTATTAATTCCGTCTGAGTAGAATTCAGAATTTTTAGAATTGATAAAGTCAATAAATGCATTTTCCAGTTCCGTTTGATTTTTGAATATTATGTGTTGTAAGTAGTGGTCCAGGTGTCTAAAAAAATGGTAGTCAGTAGGCGAGAGGTCCGGAGAGTAGGGTGGGTGAGGCAAAGTTTCATAGCCAAGCTCCAATAATTTTTGTGACGTTACACGTGACACATGTGGTCGAGCGTTGTCATGCAACAAAATGGGCCCTTTCCGATTGACCAAAGAGGGCTTCATTACTGCCAATTTCTGATGCATGGTATTAATTTGGTTACAGTATGATTCAGCATTGATGGTTTCGCCAGGATTTAAGAAGCTGTAGTGTATTAAACCAAATGAAGCCCACCATACCGTAACCATTACCTTTTTTTGATGAGTTGGGGGCTTTGGAAAATGTATTGGAGCTTCTCCTTTGTCGAGCCACTGTCCAGAATCCACTTTTCGTCACATGTAACAATTCTGGCCAGAAATGGGTCATTTTTGTTTCGACAAAGAAGTGATGCACAAACATCAAAGCGCTGATTTTTTTGGCGATCGTTTAATGAGTGTGGAACCCAATTTTCGAGTTTTTTCACTTTTCCAATCGCCTTGAGGTGGTCAGCGACGGTCGTTTTACTGACTTTGAGTTGCTCTGCAAGTTCTCGAACAGTTGTTTTGGGGTTTTCTTCCACCACTGATCGCAGAACATCATCATTAAGAGAGGAAGGCCTTCCACGACCTTCTTCATCTTCAAGGCTGAAATCTCCCTCCCGAAATTTTTTAAACCACCTTTGCACAGTGCACTCATTAACACAACCCTCGCCCCAGACTTGGTTAATGTTTCTAGCCGTTTGGGCTCCGCTTCGGCCGAGTTTAAACTCGTAAAAGAAAATCGTACGAAATTCTCGCTTTGACATTATAAGGATGACTGAATTATTTCCAAGTAGCGGAATGCTACAGAGGTAAACAAACAATATCATTTGGAAGAGGATTAATAAGTGTTGACATTCATACAAATGAGTAATCCTGTAAACGTAAACAGAATATTTTATATAGATTTTTTTTAATGAAAACTTAAAATCCTGCATTATTTTCCGGACAACCCAATATATCAAGTTTAATAGTTTTATTATTACTGCTTCTGTACTATTGCAATTGTTTTACATATGAAAAAATCAAATTTTTAAAAAACTTTATAGCAAGCTATAAACATCTTTTAAAGGCTTTTTTCTATTTTTGTTCATATGCTGTGTCTTTGTTTTTTGATTGTTTATTCTATATTCAATTTGGGGATTTTTACATTCTTCTGAATTATTTCTATTAAGCGATAATCTTTTCTTTCTGCCAAGATTTATGGCATACTCTTGGTCTTGTGCATTTTTATGCGTTGTTTTATCTCCTATTCTTTATTATTATTCTTATAATTGTTATTTTCTAAAAGTTCAGAGTAGTTGGCCTATTGGCTAATGGCATAAATATATTTTCTATCTAGTCCTATTTCCCCTTGTATTTTTTAATGTTTCTTTTATTTTTTCATACGTTTTCTGTTGTACAATCCATAAAGTTAAATAAATTTACTCATTTTCACAATTTTATGAAGATTTTATATTCTTTCGGAAATTATTTTCCTGGTCTGATGTTGTTCTGCAAAATTGAAACTTGAAAAAAATGAATAATTGAGTCCATTTTTAGTTAAAAACACTACATTACTTCCACACACTTTATTTGAACCTATAAAATAAATAATAATCAGTTTTTACGTTTTATATTATGACATTTGAAAAATGGCAAAAAGGAGGGAAAATTCAAAAGGTGGGGTTGAGATGGGAAGTTAGTGTCCGAGTGGATCGAGGTCACGATAGCTCAAGTGGTAGAGCAGCGGCGTATCTAGCCGAAGATCGTGGGTTCGAATCCCGCTCGTGCCATTGACTTTTTTATCTCAGCTAAAAGCATTAATTAATTGTAATATATTAATTGGTCAAGCGGACCACGAAATTAGTGAATTTAAGTTTTATTTTTTTTAAAAAGAACAGATTTTCTGTAAAAAATAGTAGAAAAATCTAATAAATTATTCAATCAAAAGGATTTTCTACGTTTTATTCGTCCTTTTGAATGACATATAAAATGACTAGGATTAAGCGAAACGAAAACCATTTTGAACGTTGTTTTAATCTAATTCATTTTTTTTTTCAAAATCAAAATAATGAATTCGAGGGGAAAATGCAAAGGAACGCTTATATTTCAATTTTCGATGAAAACCATTTCTTTGACACGAAAATTACTTCCACCTGAGATCTTTTATAAATCTTATATGTACAGTTATGAATAAATTAAGGTTTCTGGTGGTTCCAAACACTATAACCTGAAGCATTTGACATTCATGAGGGTCGTAACAACGTAACGTTCTATCTAGCTAGGGCAAATGGTATTATGGAACATTCATATTTCTTGAGAATCAATGACGTTCCTACCTTTCTTCAGAAAAGGGATAATTATCGTGTTGACATATGTTGCACATGTTTTTCAAATAATAAAAAAAACTAAATAAACAAATCTTAAGGAAGGCAAAATCCTTCCTCACAATCTTGGACTTACCATACCAATGTTGATGACTAAATATATAAAATAAACTAACTACAAGTTGTAGGGTTTTCACATGACCTACTTGGCTTTGGCGTGGGTGAGGTAACAGGATAATATATAGATATCTGCCTGGCTATGAAGGGGGTCCCATTCAGCTGGGAAGCTGAAAAGCCCCGATGCTCACCCCCATTGAACCCAAGGGGTGAACGTACCACTCAAGACATTACTCACATAGCATTTATGTTTGGACATGCGAGAAGAATTGCGAATTACGTGTTGTACGCAATCGGACACGAGTACGACTAAGCTCGTACAATTTTCCTGAATGAACAAGCTAAGATATGTCGCCCAAAATAAATATGAAGTAAATGATATATGGAAAAATATTATAAATAAAAGAACCACATAATTCTTAAATGATGAATTACATGTTTTTAGTTAGAAAAAATTACTGTTTTTTTAAACTTACAGAATGAATCTCTTGATTTTTCGTGCCCAATTTAGCAGATATAATTTTTCCCTCAAAAGTTTCAGATTTATTTCAAATTTTAATTTGAAGAAAAGTATGCTGCAATGTCAAGATAATAAAAAATCTTAAAGCAACCGTAGTGATTGTTATAACTGTCACCTTACTGTTTACATTTACTCGCAACTGTAATTTTTATCTAATCTGAAAAACAATTAATAAGTCCAGAGTCATTATTCTCTTTGCCTAAGGTTTTTGGTTGAGATGAAACATTAGTGTCACAAACGGGATTCGAACCCACGACCTTCGGCTGTAATTAATAAGGATGTAGCTGTGATCGTTTGTAAAAAAAATTGTATTTGTTAACTAGTAACTATATTGAGAAAGTAACGCATTATCCTTGATTTTAATCACACCTTTTTAAAAACTAATTGTAATTAAATTATGTATTTGTTGTTTTAGTTTGAATTGAATAACTCATTTATAAAAACAACCACTTGTTAAAACTTGGTTCTTTGGTTTCCGATCGTTTTTTGGGGAAAAACTTGATTAAATAATGCGAAGAGTGACATGGCATGTACTTCATTCTTTCTTCGTTTCAATCTCAATTTGAATTGAGCGCTTAATTTTTTTAATTTTGCTCACTAATATGTTAATTCATGATTTGTGCATCTAATTAAATTTGCATCACGTGTGTGATATCCTTTGGTGTAAAAAGTTAATTGTTTTAATTATTCCGTCCGAGGGTCTATTTAAAGCTTGCCCAGGCAAAAAGTTGCTGTTTTTATAAAAGGTCAATTTTAATTATTAGATTCTGATGAAAAAAAAATTCAACTGCTTAAAAACCTGTGAAGTGTTATGCTCAAAAACAACCCGCTAGCGGTATCTGAGATATAGTGTCAATGTAGATAAAAACGACGATCTGATCGTTTTCCTTTTGTTTTCGTGATGTTCTTTTATTTCTATAAGACATCAACAAAATGAACGCGATGGTTTATGGATGAAGGTACATGATATGTGCATTTGCGTCAAAAACAAGATATCCGTTTACCATCCAAGAACAACCTGTCAAAACATTATCCCTATTAAATATATTTCAGTGGGTCCAATCGTTGTTGTGTTTGACACTGCCGTTGTTTGTTTTGGTTTTTTAATTGCTAATTACTGTAAAATTTACTACTACCCTTACTTTTTCAACATTATATGTAAGCAGCGAGTACAGAAAAACATGTTGTAAAATTTTTTTTAATACTTGAATATGCAATAAAATGATCTCTGTCTCTCTGTTTCAATCATTCACTCCCTTTTTTCTCTTTCTGTCGATCTCTCTCCCTTGTTCTCTGTATGTCTGTGTCGCTGTCTGTTTCTCTCTTTCAATTTTAAATAAGAGAGAAACATTCATTGTTCTATTTCTGTCTGTCTGTTTCTCTCTCTCTCTCTCTCTCTCTCTCTCTCTCTCTCTCTCTCTCTCTCTCTCCACCTTTTCACTTTTTCAGTCTGTTTGTTTCTATTTCTATCTCATTCCCTCCCTCCCTCTCACTCACTCTCTCTCTCACTCTCTCTCTCTCCTTCTCTCCCTCCTTCTCACCCTATCTCCCTCCCTCTCACCCTCTTTCTCTCTCTCTCTCTCTCTCTCTATATATATATATATATATATATATATATATATATATATATCCTCTCGCTCTCTTTCTCTATCCTTCCCCTAACAATACAAAACCATCATACCTTTTTGATGTTTAGGATTGTTTATCATTTTAGTCTTATTCAATTCACTAGTTTAGTGGTCCGCTGACCAATTAATATATTACAATTAATTAAGGTTTTCAGTTGAGATAAGAAAGTCAATGGCACGAGCGTATCAAGCCGAAGATCGTGGGTTCGAATCCCGCTCGTGCCAATGACTTTTTTATCTCAACTGAAAACCTTAATTAATTGTAATATATCATTTTAATGTTTANTCTCTCTCTCTCTCTCTCTCTCTCTCTCTCTCTCTCTCTCTCTCTCTCTCGTATTTGAAATTCTATAGTAATTTCAGTTTATACGATCCGAGAACAGTGATTATTTAAACATAGCAAACGCAGTTTTAAACTTTTCCCCGTTTTGGCTTTAAAAACTTGAAAATCATAGATCATCTTGATAGCACAGATTTATTGAGGTTAAGTCCTCGAGTTTAAAACGTACTAAACAAGTCTCGAATTGTTCAACGTAGCGCAATGACTTAACATACATTCATTGATTCGCGCTCCCACGCTGGCTCAAGTCTTCGCATTTTACGGAAAACGGAGTGTGGTAATATGAAAATTCGTCCCAAAATTATTGTTGACCCGTAAATTCCATCGTTCCTGAGACGAATTTCTACAATTTTTCTGTTTTATAAGATGGTAATATTATTTTCCTCTGTGTGCTTTGTATTAGGTGATAGTGAGATCGAGACTGGAGCTGTCCAGCACAACCCTTCCGTACGTGAAGTACCCAGAAAAGTCCTTGGTCGTTCCAAGGAGCGCTTCTTTATACACCAGGCTGTTTACTCCGATGCGTCCGAGAAACCTTGGCAGGAATGTTACGTTCAGCGTAGCCGTACCTCGGAACTACGAGACTCCCTTTGAAGTCACTGCAAAAGCGGGAATAGTCTACACCTCATACGGTTACCAAAAAACACCAAATCACACCGGGTAATTAGTCTGATAAATTATTCCATACCCGTATTGCAAAAAAAGGGACTTTACAAATTTCAAACCTCTATGCCAAAATTTTTCTGCAAAAGATTCAACAGAAATGTGCGTGAGTAATTTTAGGTAAATATCTAAAATTTTGTCGTTTATTTCTACGTATGTAAAATTGGACCCGAATAATTCTTTTTGCATTACATTATATGTCAAAGATGTTTTTAAACAGGAAGTTATACAATTATTGTTATCAATTTTTTGTAAACACCTGGAGAAATTGATCTAAATTGGTTCAAATATTTCTGACGTTATTCATACCACGTAAAGTTTGAATAATTTTTTCCTCTGAAATCATTGGAGGGAATTATCCACAAAACAAACAAAATTAGTCACTTGTTGTTATGTAACGTTAGTTTAGAGCATTCTTTTAAATATTACATTTAACAATAAGATTGGAGCATCGGTCGCCGCAACAGTTTAGGCGTTGATATGGCGCTCATCACGTAAGATAAAGGTCCTGGGTTCGAATCCAGCGGCCCTGCATTCGAACCCGACATACTAACAAAACGGCGTTTTTTAAAACACCGCACCCCGAGGGTTTATATGACTTCTGCTGTAGCAAACCCTCGTTAAAAAAATAAATTAAAAAAATCAAGATTATATGTATACAATTTTTCCACATTTATTACAGAGTAGTCATTATTTTGTCTTCCAAAATTGACATTAGGGAGTTGCCTGTTATTAATTTTTGTACATTTTGAAGAATTCTTTGTCTAAACTTTATCCACATTTGTCCATTTTTTTCACATTATTGATACCACTTAAGTTGGAAATATTAAGTGTTGAAATTTTTGAAAAACGCAAAATACGAACGTAAAGATAAACTTTGAAACAGGATTTTTTTAAAAATACATAAAACCTACATTTAAAAATTGTAATTAGCCTCTCATGAATTTAAATAGTAATAAGAAATTTGAACAAATCATACTTCAATGTTCTTAAAATTGAAAATAAATTTCCAAAACACTTAATTTTTCCTACTTAACGTGGTATCACTAATGTGTCAAAAATGGATTCTCCAAAATGGACAAAAATTAATAATAACAGGCGACTACCTAATGTCAATTTTGGAAGATAGAATAATGAATAATCTGTAATAAATATTGAAAAATTGTATCATATTATCTTCATTGTTAAATTTAATACTTAAAAAAATGTTCTAAACTAACGTTACATAACAAAAAATGTGACTAATTTTGTCTGTTTGTGGATCATTTCCTTCAAAGACTACAGAGGAAAAAATTATTCAAACTTTAACCAACTTAGATAAATTTCTCCAGGCGTTTACAAAAAATTGATAATAATAATTGTATAACTTCCTGTTTAAAAACAACTTTGATATATAATGTCTACAGACAAATGTAATACAAAAAAAAGCATTCGGGTCAAAAAGCATTTTACATACAAAAAAAATAAATGTCAAAATTTGACAGTTCTGAGCAATGTATGGATAAATTTTAGATATATACCTAAAATTTATGAGACATAATTAAACTTTATATGGAATTAATTGCTTATAACATTTTTTGGACGAACAGGCAAAAATTCTCAGTTAATCTTACGAGAAATTGATTAAAAAATTGCATATAAAAAATATAAAGTTTCTTATTCTGTAAGTATAGTTTTCTTAATTTATCAACATTTAATGTACATGTAAGCTAGTTATTGCGTTGTAAAATTGTTCAATTTTTCACATAATGTAATGATTTTTTATTGAAATCTCACTTGAAATTAAATTAGCATGGACCAACTAATTTCTTTAAAGATGCATTTATCTATCTACTGTTAGTTTTAAGAATTTGAACAAATATTTGGCAAATATTTTCCCTCCTCAAGTAATTTCTCTAGATTATGGGTGGTAAAGGTTTAAAAATTTCATCCTAAACTTGAAATAACATATTTTCTTTCAGCTTTGGCAATAACTAAGTTTGGAAAATTTGAGTTTCTTGTCTGTTTTAATTTACAGTGTCTTAATAGAATGGAAAGATTCCAAATTGCGTCAATTGGGCTTGTCTTGGTTCAGCATCATTTTCGTGGCGCCCAGTCATTGCCCAGTGGCCAATACATTCACCATCCACAGCTGGGGTCTGTGTGCTAAACATCTCTCATTTAAAGACTGCAACTTGGCCTGCGGCTTAGCCGGATCGATGAGACAGTAAGTTTGCCGTGTGTCTTTATTTTTAGATTTTCTTAAATTGTTTACTTTCCGTACAGCGGAAACAAGGGAGCATGCATGTGGAGGGGTCCGACGGAACCGAACCTGTCATCGATGTCTTTCAACTACTCGTCCTGCACTAACGACATCCGCTTCTGTCCGGACAAATGGTGTGATCCTTTCGAGAAACAGCACCGTCTCATCTGCCCACAAGACTGCACCGGTAATGTCGCGATTGGTACGTTTGCCCTTAAAACTTACATCTGAAAGAAATCGTTTTCAGCAACCGTCATCCTAGGAGAGCTTGGACCCAGGAAAACTGGTGTGTCAAAAGGCACCGGCGTTTGCTCCTGTGACGACCTAGGCATCTGTCATTGCGGAAACCCGTTGCTGTTTAACGAGATGCCATCCCCAAGACGAGAAGACGGTAAAAGTAATACCAACTGCCTTATTGCATGCAATTTTTAGATTTACACTTCAAACCAACATTATTACATTTTATAACAGCACTTATTTAGTAATTTGTTTGTTACTTTTTCTTTATAATAGTTTATAAATTAGATAGAAGCACCTAGAAAAAAATTCACCAATTGAATTAAGTTTTAACTTTAACATTATTCGCATTTTCTGCAACAGTTTCACAAAAGCATTTTTCATTTCTAAGCTCAACTTAATCACTAAATTTTTAATCCTTGACACAATATTTATTTTAATATTTCAAACCAGTTGGACACAAGTTATCCTATTAAAATGAGTATGGTTTTCTACTAAAATGAGAAAATATTGACAAATCAATCATTATTTCATTTTTGTTCTATTGCTTAATTCTTACAATATATAAAAAGATAGTTCTATACAAATATGATGAAGAGACTCTATTTTAGAATATATTTTTTAGGAATGGAAAGCATGTATAGGTTAAACTTTATACCTAATAGGTCACGCTTAACGTAATTAATGTTGGTTAATTTTATTAGTATTTAGTCCTAAATGGCAGAGGGAAATTTGAAGAAACCCTTTGTAATATTATCCAAAAGGAATTAAAATTTACAAATGTGTGGTGTAAACCAACTGAGCTAGGGATCAACCCTAAACCATAGTTGCGTTTACAAAAAGAAGAAAACTGAATCGCATGAAATAAATAAAATAACGCTAAATGTTTAGTTGTTACACAAGGCAAGACATTCTTTCGAAGAAAATATTGATTGTGCTACAAAAAGTCCGCAAACAATGAAGTTGGTGCCGAAGTATAGCAGGTGGGGTTGTAGTCCATTGTGGTCAAACCAATCATCAAATGCGGTACGATTTTCTGGGCCGTTAAATTCAAACAACAAAACAAAAAGAACTCACAAAAATACAAGGGCGCGCTTGTACGTATCTGGAGAGATGTATCTGATCAATGTAACTGGAGGGGTGAAAACATTTCCCGTATGGAAATATTGGATCTAATCCTCCTCTAATTTATAACGGTGGCTGAAAAGAAAATTATTCCAAAGGGATTAAAACTTGAATGGAAGGACAAGAGCATCCTAGTGAGAGAATATCCAATACTCGTGACCAGGGGCGACGTGAACAGGTTATTTTAATTTAAACAAAACTTCCAAACAAACCTAATAAATAGCAAAAGGTGTGGGGAAAAGGAAAAACCTCAGTCATGGAAGACACTTATGTTGATACAGCGATGAATATAGGACGCAAGAGTCAAGTGGCAGGAGTATATGACACCAAAATCTTCGGAGCCCAAGGGCAAGTACACCGGTATCTTTAAGTCCAAATCAATGAAAAGATGTACTCAATTTAATTTAAACAGTGTATAAAAAAAACAAAGACATAGCCATCATATCGGACATTCAGGGAGCTATCAGATCAATAAACTCAAATAAGCTGGAGAATGGTGCTGAATTGCTAAAACCAACCTAAACAGGTTAGGTGCACGAAACGACACCACACTCTTCTGCGTCCCGTAACAAGCAGAAATAGAAAGGCACAGAGAAAGCGGATGCCCTTGCCACCTCTGATGAGTCTGAACCTATTTTTTGGGTATACTGATCCATACTACGAACATCTTAGGAAAGAGGACTTGGCGAAAGCGTGGAAGAAGATAGAATTCATTCACTGGAAAAGACACAGTCCAAAGACCTCCTCCTGGCGAGATTTGGAAAGAAAAAAATAGACTGCACCAGGGGGCTAAGACAATATACCTGAATTTTTCATCCAATTCAATGTAGGAATAGGAATAATCACTTCCTGTGTTAGAACTTGGATTTGCCGATCATTCTAAGGAGTTTAGTGTCCGGGGACTTGTGGACTGTGGAACTGCTGTGCTGCGTGCAGTACCATACGCTGTTGAAGAAAGCCGAAATGGTAGTCATAAGTACAACGGCTGTTGAGTGAACGATGATTGCGATAAGTACTACTAGTTAAAAGGGTTGCTTGTGACTTGTGTTTGCTGCTTCCCCCATTAGTGATGAAATCTTATCAACGAGTCTAACATAACCGGTTGAGCCCATGCTTAATACAGATGTGCTGCAAGTTCATTGGCTGCTGTTTGGAAGTCGAAAACAAAAAGAATTAGTGACGCCGGGTGGAAATTTAATCAGTCATTACAAGAGCTATAGTCAGCTAGGTTATGTCAGCCCTGAACTTATATAAGTTTTAACCTTAACACTCAGAAATACACTTTCTTCTTATAAGCTCTTATAACCCAACCATGTTCCTGGAGAATTCCTTAATGCACAAACTATAAAACTAATCTAATAGTGTTAGTATCCGTAGAGTACTTAATCCATCATCGCCATTCACTTAATAAAATATTTTCAATTAAATAAAGTACTCCTAATCGAAAATCGAAAGGGAACCTGTAGACTCTTTCCCGTACTCATATCGAGAGCATTCCTAGTCGCCATCTATAAGGAGCCAAGGTATGTCATCTTTTATCTTGTCCGAACAATATCTCTACATACTTTGCTTCGAGCGCGGAGGGCGAGTAAAAACTCCTATACGATTCAGAATTCTCGACTTTTCAACATATTTTTATTGTCTTTTAGCGTCATAGGGGCGAATCCGCGATGGTCTGATCCGAAATTGGGAACATACGAACCACTTCAATATTACTAAAATTTTATTTTTTTAAACATGATGACTCGAGAAACTACAAATCCAACTCTCACATTTTGGCTAAAACGAAAAATCCCTTTTGTTTAAATGCCAATAAAGTTGTGATTAAAGAATCCACCATAGTCATTCACGCTTATAAATGCAATTAATCAAACGAAACTCTTGACAAAAATATCGATTATTTACAACTATTATATAACATGTAAACACCTATCAGAAATCGGAGGAGACCCATAGACTGGCCGTTGTCATATCGACTGCATTCCTACTCGCTCTGTATAAGGAGCCAATGCATGACATTATGTCCAAGCCTATACCTTTACACGTTACAGGTTATATCAGTCAAGCGTGTAAGCCCTATTCTTAGTCGGGTAAGATCTTTTCGCCGCCCCAGTTCCTTTGAGGAGAAACCATTTTCTTTTTAACATATATTTCTTGCATTTCACTGTCATTATGCCGGAAACGCAGTGTTCTGGTCCGAGATTTAGATTATTCAAGCCAGTTCAATATAAGTAAAAATTTGAAGATAAAAAATTTAGGTGACTATAAAAATTACCAACTCATTTTAGTCAAAAAGGTAAAAAGCCGATTCGATGTACTCAATTTGTTTTTTCTGTCGAATTTTAAAGACTAATTATTTGGAGGTCGTGACGGTCTGGCTTGACGTAGGTTTTAGAAAAACATCTTCTTTATCGTGCCAATGTTTCGATCTTTATTGAAATCATCTTCAGGGCTCAAAGTGTTTGTTTTCCGTGTAGATGTGTCATTCTTGTCTGTCATGTTGAGAGTGTTGAGTTTATATTTATCTTGACTTTTTGACCATCTTTTGATTACTTTAATCAACAATTAATTTATCAGCTAGTTGATTGAATAATTAGTGAAACCTAAGTCTGCCCTAACGGCGTGCTCAACAACACTTCTGCAACACTCAAACGTGTTGCGGGTTTAGTATACTCGGCCACCGAGACTATGTTACAGAAATATCTCGTCACAGAAACCACGTGAACACGATACACAAGAATGATACTTCTAAACGGAAAACAAACACTTTGAGTCCTGAAGATGATCTCAATAAAGATCGAATAAACGATAAAGAAACTGTCTTTCTAAAACCTACGTCACTCCAGACCGCATCTTACGATCTCCGAATAATCATCAAGTAACGGTCACTAAACACCACACATTTAAAGACTAAATTGAACGATTATTTATGAGATCACTGGAAAAAGTAAGCACATTTATAATGCCATGTCAAATGATAAAATTCCGTATGAATAATGTTCTATTTGCATTGGTATTCTTCAAAAGGGCAGAAATATCGATAACGAATTATCATTATTTCTACTTAACTTGTCTTTAGGCATGATTGAGCAACACAGTTCAATAATTCGTTTTCAAAAGGTGTTGTTTAATTGAACTCAAAATTACTGTTATATATTGTTTATTTTCATATTTTCTTTGTAATCCTTTAGCATAAATTCTAAAATGGAATAGAACGTCGAATAAACAATACAAAACTGGTCTTAATTATTTTAAGTTTAACAAAAAATACGCTAAAATGTTGCGAAGTTAGATAGAATTTCCTGTGAATTCGTCTTTTTGAATTTGTCAAACTAAGCAGCTCTCATTTCAGAAAGCCGCCGGGTTGACTCAATGAGGAGTTAAAGGATAAATGGATCCTACTTGACACACCATAAAAGCAGAGAGTAATGTTGATAAATTGCATTTCTAAGTGGATCTGGAAATGTTTGCAGCGTTTTTCATTGTTGCCCACCTCGCGTTTCCCAAGAAAGTTTGAAATTAAAGCTAATTGATTTCACCTCTGGCCTCGGTCATCTGCGACTCGGCCTTTTCAAGCCCGCGATGAATAATCAGAACTTAAACGCGGATTCTGAGAAGCAAGGGATCATCGAGTGAGATATAGCAGATTGTAATTAAACTTATCCAGGGATAAGGTAGTAATATATACCTCGGTTTAGGTGTTATATTTCATTAAGTTTGTAAAATCTAAACGCACAGCTTCTGAAGCTTCGTGAATATACCACTCAGGTTATATTAAACAAGTTCAACCTACATAAATAAACTATATTTCTTAAAATGTAAGTTTGACCAGGGAGCGTGAACGAAAAAGAAGTGGAACACAATTTTTTTTCTCGATATTATCGTTTCAACCAGTTGAAAAAAAAATCATTTGTCCAATTTACTGTTTCCATATTTAAAATTATACAGTAATAATAATAATAATAGAAGAGTTTTGCCTTCCAAATTAAGAATTTTAAAAGGATAAATTAAAGCTTGGATGGCAATAGGATAAAT